CTACATAACCTGGCCCCCCCCTATCTGGCTGACCTTCTTCAGGAGTACACCCCCTCTCGCTCACTCCGCTCCTCCTCTGCTGGTCTGCTGACCGTCCCCACCCCACGCCTCGTCACCATGGGTGCTCGGGCTTTTAGCTGCACTGCTCCCAGACTCTGGAACTCCCTCCCCCCGCACATCCGACAGTCACACAGAATCACCATATTCAAATCCCAATTAAAAACCCACCTGTTCAAATCTGCTTACTCACTGTAGTGCTCCCCATTATATGTTTCTTTTGTGTCCACTTGACTGTCTCCTCCATGATTTCCTGTTTGTGTTTTTATCATGTTCTGTTGCCTATTAGCGTTTTTTTTTTTAACAAATCGTACGGTGTCCTTGGGTGTCATGAAAGGCGCCTAAAAATAAAATGTATTATTATTATTATCTATATTCAGCAAAAAGCAAGCTGTAAAGCAGGTCAATCTGAAATGATGCATAGCAACATTTAGTAAAAGTATTATTTGTTCTGTATTTTACTTATTTAACAACAATTAAATTACAACTGGCAGCATCTCATATCTGCAGCAAACTAAAGGGGTTGATTTTTCTTTGACTTTTCACCTACAATTGATGAAAAACCACTTTGTCAATCATTTTCTCTACGTTAGCAGCACAACTTTTCTTAAACTTTGACACTTCTGAATGTTAAATATGCTAAACCGATCAAAACAACATATAGGGTCTTTCATCCATATTACTATGCATGTATAGAAGCGATATTAAATAATGCAAGAGAGGCAAAGACGAGCCCTTCAGCAGCAGCTCTCCTTAGTGTCACTCACGCTCAGTGCAAACACACGTCATGAACACACTTTGGAAATGTGTGAGCGCACTTACTCCCACTCAGGAAAACAAAGGGAGATGGTTTCACGCTTCAACATGGAAGAAAATAGGTGACAAGAAGATTGGCAGGAGAAAAATAAGAGTAGAGTGGGTGAGAAGAATAAAATATAATATCTGAAGAGCAGGCCGGTGGAGACACGTCGATGCTGTATGGAAGATGAGCTCTTTGATCCTCTGTCAGGAGGGAGAGGATAGAGAGGATCTCATTTCTGTTCTACTTTCACAGAGGTGTTCTTATTAATGCACAAAGGAGAAGAATACTTAACTAATAACACCTGCTCACTTTCACCTGTTTCCAACACGGACACAAGAAGAAGGTTTTTTACAACATGCTTTGCTGCAAGTTATAAATCTGGGTGTTCACTGAAGACACTGGGTGTTTCTCAATCGCGAGGATACTGGCTTGGTAGTAGCGTACTTCCAAGTCACTTCCTTCAGAAACGAAGCAAGTATGCTTCCAAGCCACGGCTTCGGAAAACGAAGAAGAATGGAACAGGCTAACAAGTGTGCCACGGTTTCAACATAAACTGTACCGAAAATAAATAGCTCACGATGTCTATCTAATTATGAACTTGCTTTACTTTCACGGAACACATTTTTGCTGATAACAAATGTAACATATTTACCAACACGTGTTCTACGCCACTACATACTTACATTTAAATGTGTGCTGCGTCGGTTCAGCCATTCTCCGCAAGGGTTTTTGGAATTGGTCCGTATGCAAAGCATTGTGGGGATTTTAAGGACGCGAAGTCTACCCATGTGCAGCCTTGAAATGTCCCCCAAACCAAGGACGCGGCCTTGGAATTCCAAGTATGCTGGAGATTGGAACAGTCCTTCGGTGGCACTCGATGACGTAGCATCCTTGAAATATTGGCTTGGAAGCCAGTATCCTCGAGATTGAGAAACGGCCACTGTTAGCTATCTGCCAAGCTAGAATTCACTTCTACATTTCAGCAGGGGCAGAATAAGTAATCATTCAGCCTTATTTTTCATTTAATAATTTGTTCATGGTGGAAAACCTTTGAACTAAGATGCTGGTTCAGAGACAAATGGAGCGAGCACTCATGCAAAGTCTGAAAAAACTGTGCATGAGTGTTTAAATACCTTCACTTTCCAGTGAACAAAAAACGGTTCCAAAAATACATATATTTAAGAGCTTGGAATTTTACCAATCTCAAGCCACAGGCATTACATAAAGAAAGGGTAACTATTTGACATCTACGAAGATATTAACCCTCCTATTGTCTTCGTTCCCCCCCCCCCCCCTTACTTTGGTGTTCACGGTCAAATTTGACCGGTCCTGTTTTAACTGCTATTACATTAACACAAAAACCATTAATCATCACCAAATTTCATTTAACACCCTTTCGAACTGTACATATTGTATCAGACTACTGGTATACATGAACATCTGCAGTAAATATACAAAGAATAGACACTGAACATGTATTGCGTGAGCCAGGTGTGATTCATGTGGGGGGAGGGGCACATAAGAGCGGGAAATGTGTCTAATGGCACATTTCCACTGCAGCGGGGTAGCCCCGTTTAAGCGTCCCTAAGCATCCTCGCTCAGGCCTCGGCTGCCTCGCTGGCCGTCCGAGGCCGTGGCGCATTTCCATTACAGTTTAGAAACTGGCGTAGCAACGCAGTGTAGGCCGGGCGATCGGCTTTTTGGGCGGAGTGACGCTAGGTAAAACTGCAGTGGCGTCATCTTCAATGCGACACAACTCACAAAACACACACAACGATGGAGGATGTGGAAGCGATGTGGAAGCGATTCATTTAAAAATGTTGTGTATAAAAATGCTGCAAGCTTGCTTCTAGATATATATGCGATGCTAGGGATGATCTCGCGCGCGATCTTGTGACGATTCTCTCTGACCAATCAGCAGTCGAGAGTGTTGACGTCACTAGTTCAGCCCTGGCCTGATAGAACCACGATTTTATGGGGCCGGAAAAAGAGGGAAAAAGTACCTGCTAGCCGGTGCTACGCTATATGGAAAGGCCACCAAAAACTGGCCTGGCCGCTTGAGGACGGTTAAGGACGCTTAAACGGGGCTACCCGCTGCAGTGGAAATGCGCCATAATTGTTCTGTGTGTGTGTGTGTGTGTGTGTGTGTGTGTTTTATCTGATCCGGATGGTTACTAATTCCTTTTCTTTATGGCAGTCATTTTTGACCGGGAACACCATGGGTGTTACAAAGTTGACTAAATCATCCAAAATTAATGAAAGTGGTGATCAGCAATTGTATATGTTCAAATGTCTACTGTGAAGCATATCATAAAGCCTGAATGCAATCAAATGTAAAACAAAAAAAGTTATGATTGATGAAAGTAGTACATCGGTCAGATTTGACCCGAAGACAACAGGAGGGTTAAAGTAAGGGTGTAATGTTTCTCACAGAAGTCTGAGAGCAGGGACCTGTGCTGCCTTCTGATAATATTTAATTTCATCTGTGACTTTGCTTTTAATACATTAGTTCATGCCACAAAGCAAAGTGGATGTTCTCATATGTCTAAGTGCCTCCAAGATCAGCCAAAGCTTTACTCATTACTTCATCTTCTGTTAGTCATCAGCACACACACACACTCTGCTTTCGGACCTCATGTTAAGAATGATATGTTTACTGAATGCAGGGCTTTGGCAGCCATACATACATTTCACAAGCGCTCACACCAAACACAGAGACTTTATAAGTTATAACATTACAGCGCATAATGAGGAAGTGCAGAGTTAAAGGACACAGAGAAGCAGAGAGTAATAAAAACACTGTCAAATACTGTTAAAGTGAGCAAGCCAATGCTTTGATCTGAGGCCCTTCTATTCATTCTGTTAAGGTACCGGTAGCTGGAGTGGCCAAAAAGAACGAAGAAAAAGAGAGGCCATCATTTATCAAATGTTATATACCAAATAAAACTTCAGCAGAGTCGTCCTGATTTGATAAAACCGTTTCCTTATTAGATTTACGAGGAGGCTGCTCTAAATGTTTCCTTGCCCTTTTGAAATATGTATAAATAAAGGAGTTAACTGCACGTTGCGGGGGAAAGTCAGTTGAAATGATGTTGTAACACATTAAAATGTCCTCGCTTTCAAACTCTCATATATCAAGTGAATACATGTCTTCCATTTTCTATGTAATCCTGCTCAGGATGATCCTGACCTTGTTGACTCTGAAGTAGTTTGACTATCTCACTCCAAACTGAATTGAAAAGTTGGCAGCCCTGTGGAAGCTGCTTTTGATAAGTAAGAACGTGCTGTTGATTAACTGGAGCTGGAGAAAGTGGATTTAGGAATCATCACATTTTATTTGACAACACGGTTCAATTAAAGCACTGGAAAAAAATGCTGCTCCAAAAACTATTTAAAAATAAGTTTTCACTTGAAATAAGTACAATAATCTGCCAAGTAAGATTTTCCAATAAGAAATGAAAAAAGAAATAAATGTAATCTGAGATACAGCTGAAAATCAGATTATTTGACTCACCAAGACGATGCATTGTCTAAAAACAAGACCTGATATCTCACTGCTTTGTTACTTCTGAAGTTATTATGTCTTATAGCAAGCAAGACATATTCTGACTAGATATAATACAGGGCAAGATTTCAGGTTTTTATAGTGAGATGTAAGACATTTAAACTGCCTTGATTTCTTTGTATTAAAGCTGCCATTTAGCAGGACTCATGCACCCTGCTGTGATTCATTGCTCACTTCAGGTTGATTTTGTACCATCATTAAGCACCTTCTCCCTGAACTAAATGTTGCTCTCTCTGTGATGCCGTGTTTTTGAGAGCAGTGCATTCGAGCAGAGCTTATGATTCGTGTTGTGAACGTCTCCATCAGACTTTCCCGTTTTCCTGGCTGTACTCCATTTAACAATACCAACGCCTCTGAGAGCTTAAGCTCCTTTTCTTCTGGGAGTCTTAAAACTATTCTTGTTTTGTTCTGCAAAGCAAATCCAACAGATGTCTCAGCAGATCCTTCCTGCTAAGTCACATTGTGCAAAGCCACACGAAACGCTTATGGAATTTAATATATACATTCAGATGTTAAAATGTCGAGCTAAATCACGACTTAGTAGCTCTAGATTTGAAACACTTGTTTGTTGTTTACCTGCGCTGCCTCCCAGCCCCACTGGCGATATTTGGGATCGTGGGTGAACCTCCACATGTACCAGTACGTCTCGATGACCTCCGGCCGCAGGATGTAGTATTTCTCATTCTGCCGCACGGCCACCGCCTCCAGGCCGCTGTCGAACTTAAAGGCCTCCGGGCCCAGCTTCAACACTAGAGGGGAGAAAAGGAAAAGAGTAAAGGGAATTGACGTTGATAAGGAGAGGCAAACAAGAATTGAAACAAGGAAAGAAGCAAAGAACAGAAGGAACAAAAATATAGGAGAAATTAAGAAGGAAATTGAGGGAGAGGAGATAAACATTATCTTTTTCTGATATGAATTAGTGCCTCTGTGTGTGTGTGTGTGTGTGTGTGTGTGTGTGTGTGTGTGTGTGTGTGTTTGTGTAATAAGGTAATTGCCTCCTCCCACCCATTGGGTTTACTGGATTTCCATATTTTTACAAGCAAAGACTTTTCTGGCAATGAAGTGTGATGGGCATTACGGCTGTGAACAATTACTGAGAAGAAGGTGATGACAGGAAGGTCTTTGAGAGGATTATCAGGAAAACATCCAATATCTTCTTAAAAAATCTTGACTAATCTACCTACACTGAAAAAATAACAGCAGTAGGGATGTATCGTGCTTTAGGTAGTTTCATTGTTTGTGATCCTAGATATCGCTGCAGCTGCTCTATTGATCACTTTTGTGTTGTTTTATTAGACTAAATAAATCAAGTGAAAAGGAAAGTCTTGTCTGGTAATAATAACGGCTTAAGCTGAAGAAAAAACACTGTCATTAATTCTCCTGGTTATTATTAAAGGTTATTTCTGACATCCTGTATAGAGTGAAGCAGGAATGAGTCTTAAACCCAGAAATGAGTAAGCATTTTACTACTTAAGGCTTCCCTTGTTACAAAGTCAACATTTATAAGAATTACTTTATGGTTAGGTGTCTGAAATAAGGTCAATTTTTTATACAAGCTGACGCGATTCTCACTGTTTGTTCCACGACATGAACACATTAGTAAATACCCTAGTTGTGAATGTTTAAACCACTTAAAACTGGTTTTAATATGTGGAGATTATTCTGCTGAACAAAACACTCAAGTATCATATAAGTGCATTTGACACGTATATTATCTGCAATAATCCAAACTCAATGAAGAAATCCAATTGGCTTTACGTCGAAGGAGCCCTTGATGCTAACTTTAGGGCCACCTACAATAATGCGTCATCCCTGCACCAATCTATCCCTCTAGACCAGTGCTTCTCAAAGTGTGGTCCGCGGACCACTGGTGGTCCGTGAGTGCCCCATAGTGGTCCGTGAGTATATTGGTAAAATTTCACATTTGAAATGAATTAATTAATTTAAGTTTTCCGCACTCTCGCGCGAATATTTCCGCAATGGAGCGAGCTTAAGTTTTACTTTCAAATGCATCATACAGTATAGCCCAGCGCAACACCTTCGTCACACATGTTGCCACTTCTTTGCACCAGTTTCAGGCGATTTGTAATCTGTTCTAGAAAAACGATGTGTTTTTGGATATTTGTGGAGTTAGGTGGTCCGCGAGTGTTTTTTTATTGGTTAAGTGGTTCTTGGTATGAAAAAGTTTGAGAAACACTGCTCTTGACCAGTGCATCTCAAAGTGTGGTCCGCGGACCACTGGCGCCCCCTAGTGGTCCGTGAGTATATTGGTAAAATACATTTAAGTTTTCCGCACTCTCGCAGGAATATCTCCGCAATGGAGCGAGCTTAAGTTTCAGATCGATTGCATGATATAGCCCAGATCAACACCTTTGTCACACATGTTGCCACCTGTTTGTACCATTTTCAGGCGATTTGTAATCTGTTCTAGAAAAACTATGTGTTTTTGGATATTTGTGGAGTTAGGTGGTGCGCGAGTGTTATTTTATTAGTTAAGTGGTCCTTGGTATGAAAGAGTTTGAGAAACACTGCTCTAGACACAAATCTTTACTTTGCTGACATGGCAGTTTTATTCATATTAAGAGTACGTGTGTGTTCCTCCTCACCTGTCCGGTCGTAGGACTCGTGGCAGGTGTGAGCGATCTCGGCTCCGAGCTGCAGGTAGTGTCCGGCTTTATCGTCAGGCGAGCCGTCGGCGCCCAAAGCAAACATGCCGCCGGCGAAGCACGCCAGGTGCCCCATCTTCCTCTCCAGGTGGCCGTTCTTCCACTCGCCGATAAACGTCAGACCGCCGTTGGATTTGCGTATCAGGTGCCGCTCGATAGCCTACAGGAAAAGAGTGTATGTGAACGAGATAGAAGGAGAGTTATGCAGTTAGAGTGTGGATTTTAGTCAAAGTCAACTTTATTGTCAATCTTTCAGTTTGTGTGTACAGACAGAGAGATAGAAATACCGTTTCCCACCATCCAGAATACAAATATGTATAAACCAGGGTTTCCGCTAGGATTTTTTCTCGCCGGTCAAATGTCCGGGCAGAATTTATTTTACCGGACACATTTGAAAATTACCGGTCATATTTCAATAATAATAATAAGAGTTATGTAGCAGAGTTTCCGTTAGCAGGTAATTACCGGACTATGAGCAGATATGCTTCAGTTTAAAACTCAGTTCACGGGGCTCATTTTTATATTGCTTCAGTCTATAATCGTAACAGATCGAAAAATTCAGATTCATTTTTCAATAAATTATTCCACCAACAACAAACAACATAATTATTACATTCAAACAAACTACTTGTAGTAGATAACGTACATTATTCAAAAGTTTACATTAACTTTGAATAATAACACGGGAGAAACGGATCATCTCTTTTCCCCTCTCCCTCCCTCTCTCTCCTGACAGCCCGTCAGTTTCTCATGCAGCTAAACAGAGGCGGGGCTTCAGGTGATCATGCAGAGCTGCGTGTCTCGGTCAGACTCAGCAGCTGATCTGATCTCTCTCTCGGGTCCGGTTACACTTCACTCGCGTTTATGTCCATATCGATCAGATCCAGCTCTCCTGATCGGCCTTTATAGAGAGCACCGATCAAACTATTAAGAGTGAATATCGGCCGATAATGACCGGCGGCCGATCTATCGGAGCCTCCCTAATTATTACCAGACATTTTGACCGGCAGGTTTTGAATTTACCGGTTTTTAATACATTTTACCAGCTAAAAACCGGTAATTACCGGCTAACGGAAACCCTGGTATAAACATATGTATAATCCTATATATACACAATCAACAGACACATACATTATGCACACATTAAAATACAAACACAACAATCAATATACACAAAATAACAGTCACTTTAATATCTTTGGGAATGTACATTAGTGCAAGAAGTTATGCAGTTAGAGCGTAGATCTTTGGGCAGATAAGGCCAGAAAAGGTTGAATGAAGCAGTAAAAATGTGGGGGAAATGTGGACAGACGTGGATTATAGTGTCCATATGTGTGTGTGTAATTGTATGCATGTAGTGATTAAAATATCAGGATGACAAATTAATAATTATGGTCAAAAAGTGATAATGACAGTTTTTATTATAGTTGGAATGTGGATGAAGGTTATCAATGCAATATTAAAGGAGTGTGTGTGTGTGTGTGTGTGTGTGTGTGTGTGTGTGTGTGTGTGTGTGTGAATGTTTCAATTGGGTAAAGTTGTGTGAATGAGGCATTGACATTGAGAGCAGGTGTATGTGGGTGTTGGGGGGGGGGGGGGTCGAACAGAAGAAACCAGGACAAAATGGTGAGTGTAGAATTTGAAATGCAGACACATCTCTCAGCCCTCGCTCTGCAGCATCTGCTCTGCTCGCTCGGTGACAGATTTAATGATTGACAGACACATCTTCACCCGACACACAACATCTGCCCTCTGCTAAATCCACTCTCACTTTACTTGAAAAACAAAAGCATCTGTCTTTTGTCGTGATGGGCTCCGATCACTATGAGGAGAGAGTGAATTACATGTTCTTAAATCAATGTCGGTCACTTAAAAAAGGATAACTGGTAAAACATATACGTGATAGCGGCTGCTTTTCTTGCTTAAAAAGGTGTCAGAATTGAATCTGGAGCTACACATGTGAGTCTATGCAGACACCAGCTGGGCCTGGTTTGATGTCTTTAAATCTTTTTGTCCTTCTAATAAAAATGAAAAATGTCTGTCCTCTTTATATCTGTCTTTTGCCATATGTATATCTGTTACTATCTGTATGTTCAGTTGCTGTTTTGATAAGTGTACATCTGTTGTGCAGCAGCTGTGAAAACAAATACTCCCTTGGCACGATCAAATCTGAATATATATTTCAAAAAACGATGCATTGAGCGTGAAATGAGATGTTGTCCTTCATATCCAAAGTGCTGTATACAAACATACTGTATGTGTGTGTGGAATCATTTCCCGAAGGACAGTTTATTTCTCCCTGTGGCGTTCTGACAGGAAGCTGAGTAAAAGGTAATTAAATAATGAGTTTGTCTTCACCCTCTTTCTGCAGGAGTGTTTTGAAGTAGTGTTTTTATAAGGACGCAACTGTTGTTGAGCTGCGCAAAGAAAGAGATGAGTTTCTTAAAATATATAAATAAATTATTTTCCTGAGATTATGCACAATGTGTCTCTTTGTTCTGTAGAAATAACTATAAAACATAACACACACACACATCTCTTTAATGTACCTCAATGGCTTCATCGTAGGTTTTGCGGGCTTCTGTATCGGTCTTGTCGGACATGAGCCATGCCTTCAGCAGGTACTCGTAGAAACTGTCCCCAAGTCCTCCAACTGAGGTGTGATCTGGAGAGAGGGAAGAGAAGAAAGGGTTAAATATGCAGAGAGGAGGAACCAGCGAGAGACAGGAAAAGAGAGAAAGCTAAAGTGGATTATTTGTAGTAATATTGGCAGCGGTTTCACATCTAATTTCCAGTTTTTGTTTACTGTGTCCATGGTGTGCTCACATTTCCATGTCCCCAAACGTCCTGATGAAAGTTTACTCAGCTTTCATGGCTGTCCGAATTTGCCGGACGCCCCGTAGAGAGGAAGGGACACAGCCAACACTGTTTCTGATCAGACTATCAAATAAAAAAAATTTTCCCCAGGGAGTTTGAGCCCAGTTGATCCAACTCTTTAATGACACTTTGGTCAATTTCAGAGGCAATTTCACTGACCTATAAAAGATTTATGGAGAGTGTTAGCAAAGAAAATAATGTTTAGCATATGAGAAGTGTTATTGAGTATCATTATAACAGTTGATACTGTCAATACTAACGTTTTATGAAAAGTTTGGGAAAGAAATCTACCTGTTTTATGATAATTTTGGCTTAGTGAATGGCTGTTAAAAGACATTGTTGTTGGTTGGCGAATGCAAACAAAAACTACTCGGCATAAAACAATGTACTCAAGTATAATTATCAAAGTATTGGCATCAAAATATACTTAAAATACCAAAGGTGAAAGCACTCATTATGCACAATCCCTAACCCTAGTAGATATTGAATTGTTTTTATTAATAGCAACAATCTCGCCGCCTCTCGCGCAATTATGATTTCAGATTTCTAGTCGTTTCTAAAAAATTGACATAAATAAGATTCATATTAACATAAAAATTATCATAGACTAGATGTAACATCTCTTTATGATCATATTTGATATCTGATGCTTTGTTTACTACCTAAAGATCTCCCTGTCTGTATGTGATTAACATGCCTGAAGGTAAAATGGAGGGATGCGCAAACACGGGGAACGAGGAAGACGAAAGAAGTAATGAATTATTCAAACCTCACAAACAACCTTGGAGTCATTACTGAGGGCAGATTGTGAGTATGTGTTCATGTTTGTGAATCTCTGAGTTTGTATATTCACTCAGAAAATTACAGGTAGTCAATGAGCATGGAGGAGACAGCGAGAGACAGCTAGTCAATATATTTGATACAAGTTTAAATCTGCTCAAGGCTGATATGTAAATACGTACATTTGGTGAGTTCAAATCATTTAGGAGAGCCTAATCAAAGAGTTCCTGATACACTTATGTTGGCAATATAAGAGTGTGTGTAAGTGTGTGTGTGTTATGTAAGGTTTTCAAGGACTCACATCACTGTCATGTTTACATATTTTACGGAAAGGGTATCCAGCAGCACAAAAGCACTCAGAATGATGCAGACTTCTTTTATAAATAATCCTCCTGATCCAAACACGAGCCTAAATAACCTGCAGACTTAGATGAATGCTTGTATATGTTATCATCCTGAGTGGCATCTGGCAGGTCACCAGTGCTCTGCTCCACGCCAAATGATCATACTTGGTTGTTGAAGTATTGGATGAGATAAGTCTGCTAGCTCAAAGAAAAACAGTGTTCACCATGGCTGTTGGCAGAACTCTTCTCCTCTATCTAATCATCGAGAATCAATACCAAATCTTCTTGAAGAAAAAGTCTACTACTGTTTTTTGTCCCCAACCACAGCATGTGTTGAACTTTATTTCCTTTAGGGTTAATACACAGAAGAAAAAGCTTGTAGCAGGAAGCTGTAAAAGAGCGCCTGTGCAGAGGGGGAAGCAATAACGGTTCAGACCTGATTACAGCTCTTGGAAGCGGATACAAGTGGCCAAAATGTTTTTACTTCACAGACTCTGGGTTCAATATCAGGTTAATAGCGAGGCGCGCAGAAATCCCAAAGAGATCAGTGAAATACCATCGGTCCTTGAAGAGGAGACATCTTACAGGATGTTTTTCAGGGTATGTTCAACTAGGAGGTGAACCAAGAAAAAAAAAGAAATCTGAGCTACTTATTTATATGAGCAGCAGAAAACCAGAGCACTGTGCTGAATGCCATTATTATAAGTTCTACTATGGTTAGTCCATTCCTTGCTGAGAGGGAGTATAACCAGCCCTGAGCCACATGGAGCTCATTTTTAAAGACGTATTTATATTCAAGATGTCGATTGCCTGTGACCTTGGTTGGAGAAACTTGGGATCTATAAAAAGTTCAAACCAAGTTTACTTATTTTTCAGGGGTGAAGCTATTTCACCCGAGGACAGACATCTAGTCTCTCTTTGGATTCAGATTGGAAGTCAATACACTTCTGTTCATGTACAGAATAATTCATAAGCAGTGGAGAAAGTGAGAGTTAATGCGATACAATACAGTAGGAGTTAGAACACTGTAGCAAATACTATTAACAATTACCTGTTAATACATTAAAATGTAAGACAAGCACATCAAATAATGATTACATCGGGGAAAAGAGAGTATTATGTAAAGTCGAAAATTGCAAAACAAAATTGTGATTGATGGTTGTATGTTTTTTTTCCAAGGCTTATCAACTATGAGTTTAATTTGTGTCTTTTGTTTTGGTTTTCTTTTTCTAATAATAATAATTCATTTATTTTATATAGGCGCCTTTCAGGCTCTCAAGGTCGCCGTACAAAACAAACTATATAAGTGATATATTATATAAGTGATTTACTTTTTGTTAACCATCATTATCTTACTAATATGATAACATTATTTTATATAATTTAAGTTTTCCAGACCAATAACAATCCAATCCACACAAAGTCCTGTGTGTTATATTCAATCATAAATTGAGATAATTGTCGTTTGACACATCTGGTATTTTCCTACAAACACCCTGCTCCCTTTCTCCCTGTCCACATGCTTTACATTTAGGGTGCATTCACACCTAATAGTCCGTTCTCTGGAGCTCACCAGACGACAGTTTGTTACATCGTTTCATTTTTCAGAAGGTTCGGTTTGCGTTCACACGGCAAAACTCAAACGGACTATAAACTTTAAACACAAGTCATGTGCACGGAAATGCTGTTCAACCATTGGTCAGACATTAAGGGGGTAAAAACGCAAATCCCGGCAATTTCTACCGGAGCCTCCGCCATGGAGCATCGGCACCTTCGGCAGGTTATTCTCATGCTGCTGTTAATCTGGAGATCAACAGACACTAGCGGCCCGCGCATATGATTATATAATCAGACAACGTCCGTTAAAAAACATTATAACATAATGAGAGACGTTCTGCAGTAAGGAGGGGCGTTTCACCGACGACAGGTGTTCTTACTTTTATGTAGTTGACGGAGCATTTTTACTTTACACGACACTGTTCAACACTTCATTCCGCTTCACTGTTTAACTAAACAACCGCGGAGGTCTTGAAAGACTCTTTCGCTAAAGATTTTGAAGATATCCGCGTTCTTGTGACACGTAAATACCACGCTTCCTATGTTTTGGTGCGGACTGCGTTCACACCAGCGATGAACCGCTCCAGAGTTCGCAAGCAAGCGCTCCGAGACCACCTATTTTAGCGGACCAGAGTCCGGTTGTTTAGTTCACTTTAGAGGTCTCGGACTGCGTTCACACCGAGCCAAATGAACCGAACCAAGCGGCTAAACGCACCAGGGTTCGATTCAACCGGACTATACAAGGCAGGTGTGAACGCACCGGCTGTACCCAGACTCCTCTAGTTGAGAGGCTTCAAATAACTAAAATGCTGGGCTCATCTTGCTTTGTCCCACTTTATCTCTCTGAAGTCTTCAGATCTTCTTTTACTGACTGATCTGTTGCTTAATTTTTACAGTAAAATGGGGTTTTAAAAATCTGAAGCGCTGTCATAACTGCTTTTTAAACTTACAACCTGATGTAATAAAAGGGAGCAGAACAGAAATACAAAGTAAGACTAACATCATCCAACCAGACAAAAAAACTGCTCTTTCACACAAGACTGTTTTTGATGTTAAAGAGGAACATAAGAAGGCAACACTGATTCAATTAGAATATGAAACAGGAAGTGCTCTCAAGTTGTCCCTCGAGCATCTACCCTTTTCTGTTTTCCAGTCACCTCCCACACTGTTTTAACTTAGCATCCTCCCACACACACTCCCTCCTCTCCATCATTTTCAGCCCACCAAAGGATCTGGGTCATGCACGGAGCGCCTGTCAATCACAGCGGGGTCTGCTGAGGAGGCGGCTTCAAACACACACTAAACCGCAGACACAAAGACACATGTACACAAGAGGACATCTTCACTGAGTCTCAGACACTCTGTTTCAAAACACAGGTCGAGGGCACGAGCTGTTGAGGTCATACTAATAAAGTCTGTGGATGGGAAGGAGTGCGACAAGTTATTTCTATGCAGCACTAAACCCAACGAAGATCAGCAGAGGTCAGCCATGTCTCAGTCCATGTTCATGCATTACAAACGTCTTTTTCACTTGACAACAAATCATTATTGACAAATGCTGTTCAGCAGTCAACATGTACTTGGATGCTGCGTAAGGGATAGTGTGAAGTATTCTGTCATTATTATTTTATAATGTTTTGTTCTATCAGCACATTCAAAAGTGTGGTGTTTTGCTAACTGACTGCTTTTTTGCCTTTTAAAAAATAAGCCAATCAATATTTTAAAGAGGCCTTGGTATGCTTTTTGGGGTTTTCCCTTTCCTGTAGTGTGTTAGGGTTTGTTTACTTATGTCACTATGTAACTCTATTGGTTAGCGCTCCGAAACATAAGAGGCGGGACATCTCTAAGCAGTTGACCGATCACAACAGAGCCGGCCAGCTAACCAATCAGAGCAGACTGGGCTCTGGTTTCAGACAGAGGGTGTAAAGAGGTGCTGCAGCACAGACAGTGTGAGAAAAATAAAGAGCTTTTTGAACATTAAAGCTTGGAGACATGTCCCAGTAGAGACACTAAATATGAACCTCAACATTTGCATAATATGTTCGCATTAAAGATCATTTGGAATCAATTTTCCTGAGGCAGAGCCAGAAGGAAGTAAAATGTAAGT